TCGCCCTCTGCCTGGGATTGAGCTCAGGTCTCTCACTCGCAAAGCGAGTGCTCTAACCACTGAGCTCCGATGTCTCGACGGCGTGAGAAGGCGCTGTGTGAAATGCGAGGATTATTATTATTATTTATCACCCAATAGAGGTTTTCAGCACGGAAAGCAAGCCACCAGCCCGGCCGGTCTGTGCCACTGTTCCCTATTTCTCTACGTCCACCTTTTTTTTTCCCCCATCCGTCCGTCTCAATCTTTCGCCGTCCTCGGAAGCAAACCATTTTTTTTCCCCAACTGCAGCTCTCTCTCTCCTGGAAAAGGCTGTGCGCGGATGCCGGATCCGGTCGGGTTTTCAAGACCGAGGTGGACGGGTGTTTTTGTTAGGTCGAGGTATTTCGCCGGCAAATATCCGGTCAATTCGCTTTACGGTCTGTGCTGTGTGAAGCGCTTTGAGACGTCGAGAAGACGTGAAAAGAAAGCGCTCTATCACATGAAGGATCGTTACTGTTATATTATGACGGGGAGAGGGTCCCAGAGCACTCGTATGGGGCAAAGGCGGGTGATTGGAGTCGAGGTTCCGATCGGCCACGACCGAATAAAATGGCAGGAACAGGCTCGAGGGGCTGAATGGCCTCCTCCTGTTCCTATATTCCTAATCCCGCACCTCCTAAGCCTCTTGACAGGTGCAAAACCTTGTGGAATTCTTGCAAGTAGACGGATTCCTCTGGACAATCCTGTCTAACCCAAAGATTTGCAATAACTTTTGACCCCTCACTCTCGTTGGGCGACTGATTATAGCCTCTTGAGTTAAACATTGATAGCATCCTAAATAAATGCTTACCACGCCACGTCCTTGAGCATTTTCCTTCCTACGAGGGTTGGCCTAACCGCACTAAAGCACTCTGTCCAGAAATACATTGAAGATTTCAAGTAGGAAAAGGTTTCCCTCTGTCTTGGCCAACAATTCTCCTCAATTCCCCCCCCTCCCCACCGTGGATTAAAACAAAACTGCTCATTTATGTACTCATAATAATAATAATAATAATATGGCTATTTATGGGACATTGCTGTGTGCAAATTGTGTTTGACTACACATATGCAGCCCCAACACTTTCCAGAGACGAGCGAGAAACTCTCTTGAGTAGTTTTATTGTAACAAGGCATGACGTCAAACACAATTGATATCAATATTTTATTATAATGATTTTTTTATTATTATTATTATTACATTTTATCATTTGATTTCAAACACCCAAAGTGACCCACTCCCCACTGAGCCATTCAGCGACAACAATCCTCGCATTCGATACGGCGCCTTATCACGTCTTCGAGACGTCGCAAAGCGCTTCACCGGATATACCGTCGAGTGAACTGACTGTATGTTTTGTGGACGAAACACGGCAGCCAATTGCGTCCCACAAACAGCCGTGGGTTGAGTGACCAAATTGTTATATATTGGAGGGATTTTGCGCACATTTGAGGCTCGTGGTTTGATCGGGAAGGAATGAGCTGACTTCCGTTCTCGTGAGGAATCCATCTCTATATGAGAACGTTGTAAGACTAAGGGAATACCCACCTACATTGGGTTGATCGACGTCCGCAAGCCTTTTAACCTAATGCCTCATGAGATCCTTGTGATGAAAGTGGAAACCTTGGGAATACGTGGCCAAATCTTGGATTTTATCTGGAAAATGTGTTGAGGACGTGGATGGAGCAGCTGAGGTGGTTTCGGCATTGGACTTGGACCTCGAGAACATCAAGGTGGCTGGCACGTTACAAGCTGTCCTGTAAAGGTCCTCCCACCAGACTGAAGGCAGAGGTCCATCAGATAACCAATGAGGAAACTCTGAGGCTTGGGGCAACAGCTGCTGGAAGGGGTTACCTGGTGTCTTGAGATCATGAACGTGTGCTCGTACATCCAGCGTCAGGAATCCACCTGGATTGGCCTGTAGAGAGGCCAGCAGCTCCTCCTTAAACTCCGCACCTCCAACTGGGAAACCATTGCTCAATGGGAAGGGATGTGCGTTCCTTTGAGCTGTAGGAAGGAACGAAGATGGTGTCACACTGAGCTGTATCGGCCATCAGAATCCCTCCGCCTTTCCCCACCCCCTTCCACCCCCCTCTGTCAGATCGCGACTGGATGGTTCCTTCTTTGACCGTGTCTACGGTCACCTCCTCCCTTTCCCCCCCCCCACTCTCCAATCTGAGGGGGACAGATTCAGTCGTGACGTGACTGGTCAAATTAACACTTCCCGTCTCCCATTTTACTCTTAACCAACTCAACGGACCCATCTGGGTCTTTAAGACGCCGTCCGTTTCTTTTCTTTTCTTCTCCCATCGCTCTCTCTCTCTCTCTCTTTGACTGAGTGCTGTCAAAGTTCCACCTCTCTGTTGTCCTGTCAAACCTTCCGATCGTTTTATTTGTGCTTGATCGGTTTTTACATGACTCCCCGGACTCATTATTTTTTTATTGCTTGCGCATTTCAGAAATAATTCTTTGCAACCTCCGCCTCGCTCGCTCCTGAGTGCTTTTCCAAGTCCTCGCAATCTTTTTTTCTCCTTCACCCCCCACCGCCGCCGCCGCCGCCGCCGCCGCCGCTCACAGGGATTCAGGGCTCTTCCGCATTCTTTTAAAACGTTCGGTTTGTTCAAAAAAAAAACGGTTCCCCTTTTAATCGTCCGTTTTACGTCCGATTCTCTCCTGTAGACCTCTCCCTCCTCGAGCCCCAACTTTGTTTGTCTAAAGTTTTCCCGACAAATTACGACGCCTCTGATCCAACTGCGATGGCCATTGGAGTCCAAACGTTGTTGGCGGTCCCCGGTGGAGTTCCCGATAGCTCAGTGGTTAGAGCTCTCGCCCCACAAGCGAGAGGACCCGGATTTGGTTCCCAAAGGGGGCAAAACCTGAGCGAAGTTTCCTTACTCCACACACACGCCTCTGTGGTCACTCTCAGTTGAATTAAATGCCGGACCATTCGCCTCCCGAGGAGAAAGCCGACGTTTCTAATTTCTCTTGGAATGTTTCCTTCACGCGCGTCTTCCCACTCCGGGGCCTTAGACCCCGCGGTGTCTGCCGTGGGCTCGAGCCGTGTCTCTGCGCGAATAACTTAACGGGTGCAAAACCAGGATGAAATGTTCTTTATTGGGGGCGCGAGTCATCGCGGAGCGAAAACCGCGTCTCGCAAACAAACCGCTTGCGCGTTCTTCGCCGAACGCGAGTTCCCGGAACCGTCAGAGGTGTGGAGACGTCCCTCACCCCATCGCTGTAACTCCCCTGACGGGGAGTCCTGTAGCTCAGTGGTGAGAGCGCTCGCCTCGCAAGCGAGAGGAACCGGGTTCGATTCCCGGGCGGGTCAGGGCGCAACTGTAGGCAAGTTTCCTTACTCCCCACACGCACACGCGCACGCACACGCGCTCACGCACACGCCTCTGTTTACCAGCAATGATTAGGTTGATGGATTGCGGGGGAAATAATATCTCCCCAAAAATGCGGTCACTCAATCCGCGGCTGTTTGTGGGGACGCTGCTGTGCGCGATCGGCTGCCGCGATTCGCCCACAAAACACACAGTCACTCAATCCACGATCCATTATTCCAGTATATTCTGAGGAGCGCTTTGAGACGTCTCGATGACGTTATAAGACGCTGTATCGAATGCGATTACTATTAATATTATCACATCAAATGCATCTGCCATAAGGATTTCAAACCTGGGACCTTCCTGATCCCAATCCCGATCCCAAACCCGATCCCAGTCCCCAGTGTTCGAAAGGACATAAAATCTTCCCTCCAAGAACCATGTGAGTTGTAAAGAGATCTTCATAGTAATATTTGTGTTTGATGTATAACGCCTTATCATGTAGTTGAGACGTCTCGAAGACCCCCTCACGGGATATCTATTATAAAGCGAATTGCCCGTATACTCTGCGGGAGAAACAAGGCAGACAATTGCGTACAGCAGTGTCCCACGGACGCAAAGTCGTGGATTGAGTGACCAAATCGTTATTATTATTTATCGGAAGAGATTATGAACCCCCCCCCCACCCCACCCCACACCCCCCCCCGGGAAAATGATCCTGGAATCTCACGTTAATCTAATAATAATAATAATAATCCTTGCCATTTTCCCTCTGTCTCCATCCCTTGAAGACGGCGGCTTTGACCCTCGCGTCTACCCCTCAAGCGAAGGAGTATCCGGCGCCGCCTGACGTCCGCGGTCGCTATCCGGGGTCGTTCCCCTATGGTTGTTGCCAGTTCCTGCCAGGCTCCGTCACCCAGGCCGCTCGTCCGTCGCCCGATTTGCCGGCTGCCCGCCCCGTCTCTGATCTCATGACCGAGGTAAATGAGGTTGTTGTTCTCCCTTTCCATTGTTCGGAAAAATTCGAGGCTAAATGGTCTCTCGGGGGGGAGATGAGGTGGTAAATTTAGGGCCTCTCAAACCCCTTTGCTTCTTTTTTTATCCTCCTGGGAGGGGGGGTGGGGGGGGGAAAGCTTGGCCAGACAGCGCGCTCTCTCCCTCTCTCTCTCTCTCTCTCTCTCAATGGCCAAGCTAACGTATGGTCTGAGCTGGTTAGACTCCAGCAGTTACCCCCAACGCACACTCAGACCCAACCTCCTTCCTCCCCCCCACCACCCCCAAAGCCTTGACTCTCGCCAACCTGCGCCTAATACTCTCCAGAATTAGGTGAGCAGGGTGCGTCCCCCCCCCCCGAAGAGAGAGAGAGAGAGAGAGAGAGAGAGAGAGGGGGGGGGGGGAGGGAGTGGGGAGCGAGAGCCCATTCCGTTCCAACCGTCTATCGTTGGGGTTTTCCAGGTGTAGGTCGGGAGACCTGGAATCCTCCGCTTGGGTTTGGAGACTCTTAAGTGACGGTGACGGGTTTCCGCGCGCGCGCGCTCGCGTGTTTTTGTGCGCGTGTGTGTGTGTGTGTGTCAGACACCCCCAAAAAATGTTTTCCCCCCCCCCACACGCACCCCACCCCACACCCCCAGGTGCTCTCTGCAAGCGGAGTCTTGCGTACACTGGCCACCGAGGAGCATCCGATGGGAGCCGATGCCATGTACGATAAACTGCGGATGCTGAACGTGCAGACGGGGAACTGGGGCGCCCGGGCGGGTTGGTACCAGGAGAACACGGTGGCCGGGCAGGGAAACGCAGGTACCATTGACGTTAACTCCCCTCCGACGCCCTCCCAACCCCCCGCGCACCCCCCCCCCGTCCCCGTCCCCGTCCCCATCCCCGCGCCTCGTCGTCGTTCTCGAGCCACTTTTCTACGGTAGCCGGAATTTCGCCCACAGAAAGAGACACGCGGCCACTTCGCTCGTACGCGGCGCGTCCTGCGAAGCGCTTTGAGGCGTCTCGGAGGCGCGATGAGGCGCTGCGTCAAAGGCAAAGGGTTGTTGTTGTTGTTGTTGTTGTTGTCCGAGCTTGGGCGCTCCTGTTTTAAGCAGACGGCTGCCAGCAGCTCGAGGTGGGAGGTGACAACGACAGCTCGGTGGCTGCCAACGGAGAGGATTCGGACGAGTCGCAGATCAGGCTCCAGCTCAAGAGGAAACTGCAGAGAAATCGCACCTCGTTCACACAGGACCAGATCGAGGCGTTGGAGAAAGGTACCCCTCCCCTCCCTCCCTCCCTCCCTCCCTCCCTCCCTCGCTGGCTCACTCTCTTCCCTCCATCCCGCCCTCTCTTCCTCCCGCACTCATTCTCTCTCTCTCTCCCTCTCTCCTCTCTCCCTCTCCCCCTCTATCCCTCCGCTTTGCCCCTTCCTTCCCCATCTTGAGGTCACGCCTGAGGGACCTTCCTACACAACCAGCGCCTACGGTCACTCTGCGTGAGGGGAGCTGTGCAAACGCAAGTTGTTGTCGTCGATTGATTGATTGATTGATTGATTGATTAATTGATTATAAACCTATAAACTTTCCTCTTTCCCTTTGTGCAAGAATTTGAACGCACTCACTACCCGGATGTCTTCGCCAGGGAGAGACTGGCCGCAAAGATCGACCTTCCTGAAGCCAGAATCCAGGTAGAGTTATCCAAAGGACGGGGTTTGGGGGTGGGGGGGGGTGGGGGGTGTGGGGGGAACGATTGTGGGTCGCTTTCCTGGGGCTAATAGTCCCTCCAAAACAAACCGAAAAAAAATAATAATTTGACTGTTTGTGGGGACGTCTTTGTGCGCAATTGGCTGCCGGGTTTCGCCCACAGAATACCCAGTCACTCCGCTTTGCGATGTATCCTGTGAAGCGCTTTGAGACGTCTCGAAGATGCGACAAAGCGCTGTATCGAATCCAAGGATCGTTATTATTATCACTACGGTGTTATATGAACGGTTATGTCATTGCCACGACGTGTCCTTATCACCGTTGCGTACCCTCACAACGAGAGCTTTCGCTGCTGCGCTGTGAAGATATTAATATTACTGCTCTCAGTCTGATTCCTTTCCGGCTCTCGTCAAGGTTTGGTTTTCGAACAGACGGGCCAAGTGGAGGCGGGAGGAGAAGCTTCGCAATCAGAGACGCCAGGCGTGCAATGGCTCCAGTCACGTTCCCATCAACAGCAGCTTCACCCCCAGCGTTTACCAGTCGATGCCGCAACCAGTCACCTCAGGTGATTGCAACTCTGTCCCCTCTGTCTCTCCCCCCGCGCCTTCCCCACCCTCCTCCTCCTCCTCCTCCTCCTCCTCCTCCTCCTTCTTCTTCTTCTTCTTCTTCTCCTCCTCCTCCTCCTCCTCCTCCTCCTCCTCCGTCTTCTCCTCCTCTTCCGTCTTCTCCTCTGTCTTCTCCTCCTCCTCTGTCTTCTCCTCTGTCTTCTCCTCTGTCTTCTCCTCCTCCTCCTCCTCCTCCTCCTCCGTCTTCTCCTCCTCCTCCTCCTCCGTCTTCTCCTCCTCCTCCTCCTCCTCCTCCTCCTCCTCCTCCTTCTTCTTCTTTACAACCGACATGGTTTTTTTTTTCTCTTTTCAATCCGGCAGCAACAATGATGGCCAGAAACGACACATCTCTCTCCAACAGTTACAGTGGGCTGCCGCCCATGCCAGCCTTTTCCATGGCTAACAATCTTCCCATCCAGGTAACAGCCGGTAGATGGGGAGAGGGTGGGCAAGGGGGGAGCAGGGAAGGTGGGCGCAGGTGGCACGTGAGGGAGGGTTGGAGGGAGGGAGGGATGACTATCTAAATATCTACCGAATCGCGTGACAGCACAGAGCAGGTTACACGGCCTGTAACGCACAGCACGTAACACGCAAGACGCGAGCGAGCGAAACACGGCAGCCAAGTGCGCGCAGTTATTGTTGTTGTTGTTGTTGCGTTGTCGCTGGTCTCTCTCTCTCTCTCTCTCTCTATAAGCCTCTCCCGTTAAAGTGCCGCCTTGTTCAGTTCTGCCCCATCTCTCCTTACCCGCAGCCGATCCAGCCGGTCCCCAACCAAACCTCCTCGTACTCCTGCATGATCCCTGCCAGCCCGTCTGTCAACGTGCGGAGCTACGACACCTACACGCCTCCGCTCATGCAGTCGCACATGAACACGCAATCCCTGAGCTCCTCAGGCGCCGCCTCCACAGGTGAGAAACACGTGAATGCCATGGCGTTCGGATGGGGCGCGTTCGGATGAGGTCTTTAGAACGGTGCGTAGGGTCAGAACCTGTTGTTGATGTTGTTGTTGGTGGTGATGGTGGTGGTGGTGGTGGTGGTGGTGGTGGTGTGTCCGTCCCATAGATCCACAGTCTGGGTATAACGGGGCCGGAGTTATAAAAATTCTTGCTTTACCGCTAAGTTAAATGAGGAAACTGTCCCAAATAAAAGTTTTCGGCCCCCAAGTGGGAATCGAACCGCCCCGGGTCCTGTCGGCTGCTCACCACCGCGCTGCGAGACACCGCCGTCTCATATGTTCTTTCTCTCCCGCAGGACTCATTTCCCCCGGAGTGTCAGTCCCGGTTCAAGTTCCCGGAGGAGATCAAGACATGGCTCAGTATTGGCCGAGACTACAGTGAGAGAGAGGGGGAGAGGGAGGGAGAGAGAGGGAGAGGGAGAGGGAGGGAGTTAGGGAGCGCTGAGCAGGTTGTGGCCGAGGGCAGGCTACCTACGCAGGGTGTCTGTCTTGAGCGGTGCCCGTGTGATATGGATCCACCCCGGAAAATTTTAAGTGGGACTCGATCGGGAATTTCCGCGTGTAGGAGGCACACGTGGAAGTCTCGGACTGGTTTGGACGCTCTTAAGCAACATCGTAGAACCTTAGGGCACAGAAGGAGGCCATTCGGCCCATCGTGTCTGTGCCTGAGCTCTCCGAAAGAGCTACCCAACTAGTCCCCCCCCACACACATTCCCCCCACCCCCCCACCCACCACCCACTCCCCCTCCCTGCTCTTACCCCGCAGACCTGCACACTTTTCCTCGTTAAGGTCCATTAAACACACGGATGGGATTGAATTGGGTTGTCCTGGATCTGGGTATGTTACGTTGGCAATCGGGTGGGAGGAGAGTTGACGGTAGCTCCAGTTTGTGTGAATTCTACCACTTTGTGATTATTATGGGATGGGATGGAGGGTGGGTGGGTGGGTGGGGGGGGGGGGGCGGGTGGGAAATTGGAGGGCGTAGGGTGGGGGAATCTGCTCCAAGTTTTGAACAGTCAATCCCAGTGTAAGGGAATGTGGTTTCATGTCCGTTATTCCTAATTATATTGCATGAAAAATACTGTGTATTAATGGAACAACTACACACACACACACACACAGACACGCACACGCGCACACGCACGCGCACGCACACACACACGCACAGCCACGTGTTGTCTGGTTTCTTTTTTTCCGCCGAACCAACGAAGGATCGAATAAAATTGGTTGATTTTTGTGTTTGCTACCCGTGTGCTTCTGCGAATCTAGGATCGTAGTGCGAAACGTGTTCGACTTAGGAGACGGGGACTCAACGTTTCGAATCCGAAAAGTGATGACGATCAAATAATAATAATAAAACTATGGTTAAAAAATATATATATATATATCACTTCTGAGTTACTGTATCCGGCGGTCGAGCCTTCAGCCTCTCTGCCCCACCCTTTGGAGCTCCATCCCTCGCTCCCTCCCTTCCCTCGCCTCCCCCGAGGACCCGTTCCCCTCTTCTTCGATCGCGCCTTCGGTCGGTCTCACCCTCGAGGGGGGTGTGTGTGTGTAAATGTCATTTGTTGTTGTTGTTGTTGTTGTTGCTTCGCGGGATACGCCGGAGAGTGAATCGACTGTGTATCTTTTGGCGCTGCGCCTTTGAGCGCTCGGAGACGCTAACCTGCGTGCTGCGTCAGCGCAAGCGGCTGTTGCGTTTTGCGGGCGAAACGCGGCCCCACAAGCGGTCGGGGGACTGAGTGGGCGGCCGTACATTTTCGCCCGCAAAACACACACAGCCAACGCGATTTGCAGCGAGTCCCGTGAAGCGCTTTGAGACGTCTCGAAGACGTGATGAGGCGCTGTGTCGAACGCGAGGATTACTATGTGCCCTCCGTGTCCGTCTCTGTCTGTCTCTCTCTCTCTCTCTCTCTCTCTCTCTCAGGTGCTCCCCTTAAAGGGTTACAGACTGGGTCGAGAGTAAAGCCACACGCGCGGTGGAATGGGTGAGGAGTAATTTTTTGTGTCATCGCTCATAGCTCTGCCTTTCAGAGTCACGGAAAAGGTCATTCGTTTTTATATTAAGATAAAATCGCATCCCGCGGTTTGTGAAGTCAGCGGTCGCCTCTGCTCTGGTGAGAGGGGCTGAAATCCTTACCTCGGGCGCTCTCTCTCTCTCTCTCTCTCTCTATCCCTCTCCCTCGAGAGAGAGAGAGAGAGAGAGAGAGAGAACGAGCAGAACTGTCAATGTACGTGAGGATCAAGCGCATGGGGTCAGAGCGGTCCGTCATGGAGGGAGGGAGAGGGAGGGAGGGAGGGAGGGAGGGACGGGCTGTGGGTGTTGGGATGGGATGGGATGGGGTTGAGGAGATGGAGAGGGACGCGGGAGATTTTAATGTGACAATCATCCTCGCGTCTGACGTGGCACCTCATCCCATCGTTGCGTCGTCTCAAAGCGCTTTGCGGTCAAGCGGAGCGACGGTGCGTTTCCAGGGGTGGGGGGGGGGGGGGGGTCAAACGCGGCAGCTAATGGCGCCCAACGACGTCCCCGCGAACAGCCGTGGATTGAAGTGACCGCATTATTATTTGTTATGGGATGATTGCCCCCCCACCCCCTCCCTCCGCCCCACACGCAGCGAGCGATCTGCCGGTCGACTAACAACCGGGTTCCTATTTGCTGCCGTGTAAACAGAGGCGCGAGCGCGTGTGTGTGTGCGTGTTTGTGAGTGTTTGTGCGTGTGGAGTGAGGAAAATGGCCTCAGGTTATGCCCTGAGGGGGAATCGAACCCAGGTCCTCTCGTTCGCGAAGCGAGGGCTATAACCCACTACGCTACGGGCGGCGGCGGCGGGCGGGCGGGCGGGCGGTGGGGGGGGAGAGGTGGTCAATGGACCGCTCTGACCCCACGGAAGGAGAGAGTGTTAAAAAAAGTGAAGAAATGAAGAAGGGGGGGAATGTGAGGGAGGACGCGAGAGAAGAGATGAGAGGGAGAGAGAGAGAGAGAGAGAGAGAGAGGAAAGACCGCGTTCGTTGTGGGCGCATTTCTGTGGGCGAAAACACGGACGTATACGGCACAACGGCCGCAATAACAGCTGGAATTTATACGGCGGTGTCCCGGAGCGCTTTAACACACAGAGCCACCCACTGCGGTCTTCCTCGCCTTCGATCTCCCCCACCCACCCCTTGCCCGCCCCCCCCGCCCCACCCCCCAATCTCTCTCCCCCTCTCGCAGTGACCCTGGTCTGTGCCATCTGCCGTCTGGTCGAATCAAAGCACTGAGGCGCAGGGGGAACGAGCGCTAATTACTCCGCCCCGGGGGTGACGGATTTCAGACGCTGGTGCGGTTAGACTGGAAACCCTCTGACTGCTGTCGCCCGGTCGTCCGCGGCTTTGGGTCGCGTTGACAAGCGGAGACGTCATCGGTGTTTTATTTCTTCTCTGCCGAGTGCCAGACTGCCACATTCCCGTTGAGGTCCCAGCAGACGCCCACGGGAGGTGGCGGGTTATTCCCGGTTCGGTCCTTGGGTTCTTTTCGGACTTGTCGTCACGAGTCGTCACAACGGCGACGCCGGCGCCGGCGACATTATTAATAATAATAATAATAATAATAATCCTTGCATTTACCCCAACGTCTCGTCACTTCTTCCAGACGCCTCAAAGCCCTGCCACGGGATACACGGTGCAGCGAATTGAACTGGATCTCTCAGGGCGAAACCCGGCGGACAATTGCGCACGCCAGCGTTCCCCCCCCCCCCACCCCCCCACCCAGCCCTTTCAGGGAGTAATAATGCCTTTTTGGAAGGCATTATTACTCCCTGAAAGCGATCTGCCAATCGACTAACAACCGGGGTTCCCGGGCAAACAGAAGCGCGTGAGCGTGAGCGTGGAGTAAGGAAACCCGCGTAAAGTTTCCCCCCGACCTGTCCGGGAATCAAAACCCGGGTCCTCCCTCTTGCGAGAGCGAGTGCTCTAACCACACCGTAACGGGAATAACACGGACGCAGATACCGAGATCGATAGACAGCGTGTAACCAGATGGTTGCCAGACGCTGACCGTGGACCGCTCGCGAAATACAAGCCTGACTTGAGGTGAATTAAATCCTATTGAACCCTTCGACTCGATGGCATTCTCTCTCTCTCCCTCTCTCTCTCTCTCTCTCTCTCTCTCTCTCGCGCGCGACCGAGGACAGAAGAGAAGACAGTCGGTTGCGATCGGTGAGGGCCATTCGTTTATTTTCCTATTCGTTTCGCGTTCTTTCGGCGGAACGGGGTGGGGGGGGGGGGGGGGCGTCAAACGAGCGTAACCCGCGGGCGGACTTCGATGAAATCTGTGCAGAACTTAATTTAAACGCCGGGGAGATAACTGGTATCGCCACCCTCCGGCGGTGGCGACGGCACAAAGTAGACGGAACGCCGCACACGGTCCCCTTTCCCGGCGTGTGGGTCGTCTACCGGGTTGGGCGGCCACGGCTGGACAAGCACGAGGAAAGCCTACCCCACCCCCCACCCCCACCCAAGCGTCGGCTCTCGCCAACCTGCGCCCAATGCTCTCCGGAATTAGGTAAGCAGGTTGCGTCCCTCCGGAGAGAGAGAGAGAGAGAGAGAGAGAGCGTGTAGGTGGGACTCCTGGAAAGCTCAGCCCGGTTTGGAAACTCCTAAGCCACGGCGATGGGTTTCCACGTGTGTGCGTGCGCGCGTGTGCGCTCGTGTGTGTGCGCGTGAGCCTCAGACGCCCGACTGATCAAAAGCAACAAAAAAATAGCGTGCGTTGTTTTATTTCTTGCGCCCAAATGGTGTCAAACGGCGTCAGAGAGCGTCGTTGACTTGTGTTTGGTGTTTGGCGGGCAAAAAAACAACCCCCCCCCCCCGCTTCATCTTTCTCACCCGCGCCCTCCGTAACCCCCTCCGTCAAATATGAAACCGCAAGACGGCGCCGGTTGTAACGCGCACGTCGACCGTTCCGGGTGAATAATTAAGCCCTCAGTGCCCAATTAATTGGTCCTGCGAACAACGTAGCACCTCACGGCTCCGTCCGCGTGTGCGTGCGTGCGCGTGCGCGTGCGCGGGTGTTGTCGCTGACTGCTCGAGGCGCAGGGGAGCGCGTGACAACGACTCGAATTTATAGAACGACCCTCGCGCGAGGTAGAGTCCCACGGTGGCGGGACAAGGGGGAGAGCGCTCCAGAGTTTCGGAGTGCGGTGTACGGAGGAACGTAAGGGATTAGGTGCCGAAAAGAAAAAAAAAAAGACAGAGGTCCATCAGCTTCGCCTCCTGTCAACCGTGGCAAAGGCACGTGACAGTGACGGGAGGTGTTGATAGCCATGAATTCTGTACCGATTAGTCTACAACGGAGTGGAAAGCTTCGGGGACCTTCGATCCCGAGTTGCCCGGTTCCTCCAAGCGCTTACTCTATGTGGCGTCTCAAATGACCCCAATACTGTCGGCCCCAAAGATATTGTTTCGCTAAAAGTTAACCCTAAGTGTTGGCGCAGGTTTGGTCTTGAATGTATCTGCCGCTCTTCGACCTCTCCCCTATAAAACCTGCCGCCAACTCACTCCGACGCGAGGTTTATTGAAGTGCAGGCTCCTCGCGTCCACCTTCTCTCGCTCGTCCGGCTTCCGCTCAGATTTTCTTCGGCCTCCGTCCCAGTTGGAAGCAGTAGAGGGCGGAAATGATCGGAATCAGACCCTGGCACGCAAGCACGACGGCGGCCTCCAGGGGAAACGAGCCCCGCTCCATCATTCCCACCAGACTCGCTGCGAGGGTCAACCAGAGAAGACGACACTCAGCGACGGGACCCCCAACGGAATCCCCGCCGCGTAGTGGTTAGAGCGCTCGAGAGGACCCGGGTTCGATTCCTGGACGGGACTGGGTGAAACCTCGGGCAATTTTCCTTACTCCACACACACACACACGCGCGCGCGCGCCTCTGTTTACCCAGTAAGTAGGACCCCGGGTTATTAATTCAACTGGTGGGGGGGGGGGGGGTTGGGGGTGGTGGAGGGTAGTAATCTCTTCAAAAATAAATTGTAATGAATAATAATAATTTGGTCACCAACTACGCAGTCGATCCACTTTACGGCGTATCCGCTGAAGTGGTTTGAGACGTCTCGACGACGTGATATGGCGTTAAATCAACAACGTATAGCGCGGACGAGGCACGTTATCATTTATATTGTTGTTGCTATATTCCGTGGAGCGCTTTGGACCGTCTCGACGACGTGGAAACGCCCTGTCTCAAGTGCAAGGATTATTATTATTCGTATTAATACGACCAACGGACAAGTGGCTGCGGAGGTACACACCTACACACTGCACTGTGGCAGAAAACGCCTCAACCTGAAGGCTCCAACGGATGATGACCTTCTCCGAAGTGTAAAAGGAGTTGATGAGGATAAGGCCGATACCTGGGAAAGCAAAGAAACAGAGGGCAAAGCCATTGGTGGTCGGGCCTTCAGCCTCTCAGCCCCCCCCCACCCTCCCCCCACCCTTTGGAACTCCATCCCATAGTCCCTCCGCCTCCCTCCCTCCTTCCTTCGCCTCCTTCAAGGCCCGTCTCGAGACCCTTCCCCTTCGACCAACCGCTCCTTCGCCTTAACCCTCTTACCCCCCACCCTCCCTGGCCCTCCACCCTCCTCCTGATCCCAACCCTCCAGCTCGGGTCCAAATCCCTTGACTGTCCCGGGCCTTTGGAAGTCCTCCCGACGTGAAAGGGCGCCGTGTAAATAACTTGTTGTCGTTCTTGTTGTTCAAGGCCCTTCTGAAGACCTTCCTTTTCGACCCTGCCTTTGGTCACCTTCTGTCCTTTACCCTCCCACCCACCATCACCTCCCCCCCCCCCCCCCCCTGTGTGCACCATCACTGTGCCGCTCGGTGTGTGCGGGCAGACCGAGGGGGAAGATGAAGACGAGGACCAACGTACTGAGGAGCGCTCCCCCGTACAGCCTGAGCGGTGTCTGGCACGACTGCACGGATTCCTCCTGATACAACCATCCCCGCAGCGTCCCGGGGAAGGTCAGGGCCTGTAACAGCAAGAGAGCGAAGGCCGTTGACACCTCCTGAGCCGAGCCCCTCGCGCTCCCCAACCTCCTCTCCTCACGCCCCCACCCCCACCTCAACCGTCCGATCTCCTCCCCCCTACTCCCCAATAACGATACGGCCATAGGATAGTAATAATACAGCATTAGTAATAACAACCCCGGCCTTTGACGCAGCTGCTTGTCACGGCTTCGAGACGCAAAGTCAATCGACCGTATGTTTCGTTGGGCGAAGCGCGGCAGCCATTTGCGCCCAGCGACGTGCCCGCGGGCAGCCGTGGGTCGTTGAGCGACCGTTTGTTCTGTTTGGAGGGGATTATTACCCGCCGGGCAAAGCGATACCCCCAATCGACTAACAAACCGGGTTCCTACGTTACCGCCGGGTGACCGGTGGCGCCGGTAAGGAAACTTGCCCCGGGTTTCGCGCCGCCCCCGGGAATCGAACCCGGGTCCTCTCGCTCCCGCCCTCCTGAGCTCCGTCTAACTTGAGCGCGAACGAGCGCGGCGCTATACACTGACCAGAATCCCGGTGAGGGTGAACAGCACAGCAGACACCAGCTGCCAGCACCTGCCAACCACAACAACAACAACGACAACGACATAATAATCCTCGCGTCGCTGAGACCCCGCAAAGCGCTTCGCAGATAACACACCTCAAAGCCAAATCTACCGCGCGTTTGTGCGGGCGAAGCGCAGCGGCCCAATTGCGCGCAGCGGCGTCCCCCCCCCCCCCCCCCCCCCCACCACCAGCAGCCGCGGGGTCGAAGCGAGCAAATTGCCATTTCTCTCTTTTTTTGGGCTTCTTGAAGGGATTATTACCCTCGGAAAGCGATCGGCCGATCGACTAACAACCAGAGGCGGGCGCGTGGAGTAAGGGAAACCTGCCGAAGGTTTCGCACCCCCCCCCTGCCCGGGACTCGAATCCGAGTCCTCTCGCTTGTCGCTACGCTCTCTCTCTATTTATATATAAGATATATATATATAAATACAAGTCATTGCTCTCGTCCGGAACACTTGTAATGTTTAATATAAGATATTCTGAGTGAAGAAGTGATTCAACCACAGGAAGGGCGTAATTTGCAGAAGAACAAAAAAAAGGGGAAGCTCGTGAGATGTTTTTAATACAGAGCGAGAGAGAGCGCGAGAGAGAGAGAGAGAGAGAGAGAGCGAGAGAGAGAGAGAGCGAGAGAGAGAGAGGAGGGTTTTCAGATTAATTTTACTGCAAAGCCGTCGCGGCCGTCGCTTCAGCGTTTACTTTACCGGTTAAATTGAATTAAACCCATTAAATTGAAGCAGTGCAGTAAGTCATTAAGGCGTGTGGGAAAATCGCAAGGGAGGAAATAAAAAAAGAGGAGAGAGCTCCAGGGAAGGAGCGAACACCAGCACAGGCACGAATGGGGGAAAGGGCGGGGGAATAATCCTAATAATGACCCTAATAATTCTGGCAATTGATGCAGCGCCGGAGTTTGTCATTGTGACGCCTCAAAGCGCTTCACCGACTGTACTGTGAAGAGCGTTGACTGTGTGATTGTGGGCGAAAGTGTAAAGGGGTTTAGTGTAGGGGAGCGAACCCCCGGCACAGACGCGATGGGGGGCGGGAGAGAGAGAGAGAGAGCCCCCGGCACAGACACGATGGAGAGAGAGAGAGCAGGGAATGGGGGTTGGGGTAGAGAGCTCCAGTTGGGGGAGCAAGCCCCAGCCCACAGACACGATGGGGGTCGAGAGAGAGAGAGAGAGAGAGAGAGAGAGAGAGAGAGAGAGAGAGTGCAGGGAAAGGGGGTTAGAGTAGAGAGCTCCAGTTGGGGGAGCGAGCCCCAGCCCACAGACACGATGGGGCGAGAGAGAGAGAGAGAGAGAGAGAGAGTGCAGGGAATGGGGGTTAGAGTAGAGAGCTCCAGTTGGGGGAGCGAGCCCCAGCCCACAGACACGATGGGGGGGCGAGAGAGAGAGAGAGAGAGCAGGGAATGGGGGTTGGGGTAGAGAGCTCCAGTTGGGGGAGCGAGCCCCGACCCACAGACACGATGGGGGGCGAGAGAGAGAGAGAGAGAGAGAGAGAGAGAGAGAGAGAGAGAGCAGGGAATGGGGGTTAGAGTAAGAGAGCTCCAGTTGGGGGAGCGAGAGCCCCAGCCCACAGACCCGATGGAGAGAGAGAGAGCAGGGAATGGGGGTTAGAGTAAGAGAGCTCCAGTTGGGGGAGCGAGCCCCAGCCCACAGACACGATGAGCTGCAATATCTCTGCTCTTGGTCGACTTACCTGAGACCAAATGGCTCATAGAGGGTGAACTTCAATTCATTGCCCAGCACTTGGCTGATCTACGGGAGAGAGAGAGAGAGAGAGAGAGAGAGCGGAGATGATGACCATAACTTCGTGTTAGATATCCCCGATTCGCGATGGAAGGACGTCCCAAAGCCCTTCGTGGGGCTTTATCTCCCCACGGCTTTGTGTCGTGCTCCCCCCACCCCCCACCACCGGCACCGTCGAGCGCTCTCTGGGAATCTCCCCCGCGACGTTGTTGTCGTCGTCGTCGTCGTCGTCGTCGTTGTCGTCGTTATTGTCAAGCGCAGTGACTGTGCGCGTCGCAGGTCGGATTCCGTGCGGCCGTCAGCGCGGCCGTCTCGCCGCTCGTCGCTCCCACCCAGTCCGCCCGTCCCCTCAGCCCCTTCTGCCCGGCGGAGGCTTCTGCGACCGTCTGAACCGTGTGTAGTGACAGTAACACCTGCCGTTGATGCGGCGTCTTATCGTGTCGCCCGAGGCGTCTCGAGGCGCTGTAAAGGCGATTGACTGCGTATTTTGCGGCGGGGGCGGGGGGCGGGGGGGGGGGTGTGTGGGTGGGGGATAATTGTGCAAAGCAGCGTCACACAAACCCGCCAATCGACCAGCAAATAGGTTCATATTTACTGCTGGTTAGACAGAGGCGTGCGTGTGTGCGCGCGTGTGTGTGCGCGTGTGTGCGTGTGTGCACGTGTGTGTGAGTGTATGTGTGTGCGCGTGCGTGCATGTGTGTCTGGAGTAAGGAAACTTGCCTAAGGTTTCGACCTGTCCCACCCGGGAATCGAACCCGGTTCCTCTCGCGAGGGCTCTGACCACTGAGCTACGGGACTCCCACGGGGGGTGGGGGGGGGGGGGGGGTTGCTCTCTCTCTCTCTCTCTCTCTCTCTCTCTCTCTCTCTCATCGCGTCTCAGGAATGGTGTCCGACGGCACGCGCGCGCGGATCAGCCTTGAGTGTCCGCCTCGGTCTCTGACGCTCGCGTGGACAGGTTTGATAAGCGTTTTGGAGTCGTGAGGCTCAGCGGTTCGAGCGCTCGCCCCGCGAACGAGTGAGAGGACCCGGGTTCGACTCGCGGCAGAGGGCGAAACCTTGGGCCAAGTTTCCTTACTCCACACAGAGCCTAATAATAATCCCTCCAAAACCAAAAACAATAATAAATTGGTCATTTTCAATCTACGACTGTTTGTGGGACATTGCTGTGCGCAATTGGCTGCCGCGTTCGCCCACAAATATACAGTCAATTCACTTTACAGTGTGTTCTGTGAAGCGCTTTGGGACGTCCTCCCGACGGGAAAAGCGCTATATCAAATGCAAGGATTATTATTATTATTATTATTATTTTCAATCCACGGCTGTTTGTGGGACAGACGCCGCTGCGCGCAATCGGCTGCCGTTTTTATACGGTCGAACTCACTTTACGGTCTATTCCGCGAAGCGCTTCGAGGCGTCGAGAAGCCGTGAAAAGCGCTGTATCAAACGCGAGGATTGTTATTAATATTTATTATTATCTGTTTGATATTGAGATTAGTTTCTCGGGAATTCTTGGGGGCGTGAAGTTATCGCAGAGCATCTGTCAGTGAGAAGCTGCAGGTGTTAGCAGACACCTACCAGCGAGGGAGGGAGAGAGAGAGAGAGAGAGAGAGAGAGCGATGCACATGTCTGTAGGCACATACACACACCCACACACACCCACACAGTGATGCATGAATACATACACAAGTGTACGCGCGCACGCAGACACACACGGGCACACACGCATGCGAACATCACAGGATTATCCACACACACACACACACACACACACACAGTCGCACCCACGCAAAGATATGCAAACACCCGCACACACACGCACACGCACACATACACACGCACACACACGCACACACACGCGCACACGCGCACACACGCGCGTGTGCACACGCGCAGTGGAACATCAGCCTCGATACATAACAATAAGAATAACAATCCTCGCACTGGATACGTCGCTTTTCACGACTTCGCGACGTCTCAAAGCGCTTCGCAGAACAGACCGCAGAGCGAATCGGCCGCGCGTTCGCGGGCCAAGCGCGGCGGCCGATCGCGCACAGCGGCGTCCGCCACAAACAGCCGTGAAATTGGGTCGGAAATGACCGATTTATTATCGTTTTGCGTTTGGGTGATTGGATTCTTGTCAGACGTGTGGAGTGAGGAAACTTGGCCAAGGTTTCGCCCTCTGCCGGGAACTGAACCCGGGCGTCTCGCTTGCGAGGCGAGCGCTCTAACCACTGAGCCGCACGATCGAATAGAGCGGGCGGAACAGGCTCCCGGGGCTGAATGGCCTCCTCCTGTTCCTAGCGCACGAAAAAATAATAAATCGGTCGCTCGCTTCGACCCACGGCGGTTTGCGGGGACGCGACTGGGCACAGGGTATACAGCCACTACCCTTTACGGTGTGTCCTGCGAAGCGCTTTGAGACGTCCCGAAGGGGCCGACGAGGCGCTGTGTCGGATGTAGAGGATTATTATTGTTGTTATTATTATTATTATTATTCTGATGACACACAAACCTTTCAAGCCGGGCTTTACCTTTGATCTGTGGACCTCTCCCTCGTCGTCTTCCCCCCCAACTCCGAGAACCTTCCTGCTCTTCAGTCTGCTCACGAGGTCGGATTGGCTGTGCTTTTTCAGGAGCGAGGAACGTATTTTATCAGCCATCGTTCCTGCTTTGGACCGGATTCGAAAGGCTTACGTCCGCGTCTCCGAATCCGGAGCAGAAATGACAGGAGCGCTGAGAGAGAGAGAGAGAGTGCGGGAGAGAGAGAGAGAGAGAGAGAGAGAGAGAGGGTACTTTAAATCCCTGCCCAAATTTAGCACAGCGAGCGAGAGAGAGAGAGAGAGAGAGAGAGAGAGACAGAGAGAGAGAAAGGAGGCGATAAATTATACATTAACGCTCCTGGTCTATTATTCATCATCTTATTTAAGTGCAGCATTTTATCCCTCGGCCCTCGTTTCCCCGACTCCCTGACAAGACGTCGGGAAGTAAAGGAGAAAGTAGCGGCGCCGACGTTTGCTCGCCGCAGCCCGCGAGGGCGTCCCGGAGCGCTTCGCGGGGGCTTCACTGCAAGGTGGGGGCGACCGTGCGCGGAGCCACGCCGTCGACGTCGAAACAAGAATTAAGATCCATGACAAACGCCTGCATCGGGCGTGACGCCTCCCCGCGCCTTCGCGACGTCTCGAGGCGCCTCGCGGTTCTCGCTGTAAGGCGGAGCGACCGCGTGCCTCGCGGGCGGAGGTCTCCGGTCCCGTTCAATCACCCTCTCTCTCCCCCCCTTCTCCCCCTCCCGCGCTCTCCCCCCGCCCCCCCCATCCATATCCTTTTATGTTGCCTCCTCCCTCTGCCCTTTTCGCCGGCAGCTCTTGAAATATTTATCCAACCTTTATCCCTTTGCTTTTTGAACCGTTTCGCTCCGGGACTTCAACGGCAGGAAGGAGCTCTGCGCTCTAACATACCGGGGCGTCAGCCCGGCTCTATTGCGCTCTCTCTCTCTCTCTCTCTCTCTCTCCCCCGCACCCCCCCCATCGCCCCCCCCCGCACCGCCAGCAATACCCCCGAATAAAATCAGTCGCTCACTCCCACGGCTGTTTGAGATAAGGCATTGGGTCAAACAGAAGGGATTATTAAGGATTAGTATTGTGAAGAGCTCTGAAACACTGCCCAGTGCGAAGGACACTGTATATACGTGTGTGTGTGTGTGTGTGTGTGTGTATGTGTATGTGTATATATATGTATATTTATATGTGTGTGTGTGTGCGTTCGTATAATATGTATAAATGCTATTGTACGTTGTTGTTGTCGTGCGGAGCGCTTGACAGAGCGCTGCTGTCGAACGCTTACCGCCTTGTGACAAGTTTCGAGAACAAATAAGTCACGTTTTTTCGCTCTGACCTCACACGGGAGCAAAGACGTGACCAAGTCACGGCTCTCAGCCATCAGCTGGTCCTTGGAATAGTGGGGTGGGAGGGGGGTGGGGGGTGGGGGGGGTGGTGGCGGCTCTCAGCCATCAGCTGGTCCTGGAATAGTGGGGTGGGAGGGGGGTGGGGGGTGGGGGGGGTGGTGGTCGCGTAGCGTTGCGGTTAGAGCACTCGTCTCGAAAGCGAGAGGTCCCGGGTTCGATTTCCCCGACCGACCTCGGGCGAAATCTTCGGTTAGTTTCCTTACTCCACACGCGCACACGCACACGCACACGCGTGCGCAGTAAACGGCAGTAAATAGGAACCCGGCTGTCAGTCGATCGGCGGATCGCTTTTCCCGGGGGTGATAACCCCTTCAAAATGAATAGAGATTTGATCGCTCGGCCCACGGCTGTTTGTGGGGACGTCGCCGGGGGCGCAATCGGCTGCCGCGTTGCGCCCACAAAACACGCAGTCACTTCACTTTGCAGTGTATCCGGTGAAGCGCTTTGAGACGTCTCGACGACGGGATCACAGCGCTGATCAATTGCAGGGATTATTATTGTTGTGATGTGTGTGTGTGTATATGTGTGTGTTTATATGTTATGTGTGTATGTGTGTACATGTGTGTTTATATGTGTGTGTGTGTGTGTGTTGTGTATGTGTGTGTTTAGATGTGTGTGTGTATATGTGTGTGTGTGTATATGTGTGTGTATATGTGTGTGTATGTGTGTGTATGTGTGTGTATATGTGTGTGTGTGTATATATGTGTGTGTATATGTGTGTGTGTGTGTATATGTGTGTATGTGTGTATATGTGTGTGTATGTGTGTGTGTATATGTGTGTGTGTGTGTATATGTGTGTGTATGTGTGTGTATGTGTGTGTGTATATGTGTGTGTGTGTGTGTATATGTGTGTGTGTGTGTGTACATGTGTGTGTGTGTGTACATGTGTGTGTAAGTGCCACATATAGGTCATGATGTCCTCTGCACTCTGACCACACAGTAATTCGCTGACCTCCGGCATTGCTGAGGTATCGATCCCAGTCACTGACTGTCGTACAGTACAGTACAGTACAGTACAGTGCAGAACAGAGCAGAACGCGGCAACCGAAGGGCATCATCAAACCCGATCACACACAGAGCCGCGGTACGTCTGCAAAGTTTCTGAAATTCACCCCTCGTCCCCTCTCTCTCCCCCACACCCCCCCTCTCCCCAACCGCCAGCCCCCCGCGCGCGCACACGCACACGCACACGCACACGCACGGATACACGTCTCATCTCTATCCCGCACAAAACAGAACGCAAGAGCGGAGAATCCTATCCGCTTCGTTTCCAACGCAGAGAGAGAGACAGAGAGAGAGAGAGAGGGGGAGAGACACGAAAAAAAAGCAGATGGAATCTCCCGACTTGGCACTGACTTGACGGAGCGAGCGAGCGAGAGAGAGAGAGAGAGAGAGAGAGAGAACGAGAGAGAGAGAGATAAAGAGGGAAAGCTGCTGATAACGTGTGGGGTGAGACCAGTGAGAGTTAATATTTTATCGATTCCTTCGCTCTCTTTGCCTTCCCCCTTTTTTTCAAACACGCTGCGAGCGCGAGAGAGAGAGAGAGAGAGAGAGAGGGAGAGAGAGAGAGAGAGAGGGAGAGAAAGAGAGAGAGAGAAAACAGATGGTAACTTGTGCCTGAAATCAAGTGAGAAAGTTAATATTTTATCAATTCCTACAGTCTTCTGACCCCCTTTTTTTTTTGAACAGGCTGCGAGCGCGCGAGAGCGAGCGAGAGAGAGAGAGAGAGAGCGAGAGAGCGAGAGAGCGAGAGAGAGAGAGAAAAAGCGAGCGGGTGAGAGCGCGGGAATGCGAGAGGAGGCGAGAGTTAATATTTCATCAATTCCTATACTTTTCCTCTCTCTCTTTTTTTAAAACCGGTTGCGCGTTAGAGAGAGAGGGAGAGAGAGAGAGAGAGAAAGACAAAGAGCGCGTGTGAGAGGGAGAGAGAGAGGGAGAGAGAGAGGGAGAGAGAGAGAGCGCGCGAAAAAGTGCGAGAGAGAGAAAGAGAGAGAGAGAGAGAACTCGGACCGCAGTCCGAAGGTAGAGACCGACAATTTTTTTTCTTCTTTGGGATCTTTTTCGATGCTTTTCGAGGTCGAGTAACAGTGAGGCTCTTTTTTTTAGTGCCTTCGGCCACTGCCCCACCCAACCCCCCCCCATCCCCCCTCCCCGAGCCTCTGGATCTCCCTCACTCCCTCACTCCCTCACCCCCTCACTCCCTCACTCCCTCCGTCTCGCCCCCTCCCTTCCCATTTTCAGGTCTCTTCCGCTGAAGACCTTTCTCTTCGACCCGCGCCTTTGGTCCTCCCTCTCTCCCCCCCCCCCCCACCCCCACCCCCACCAACCCCTCGGTCCCGGGATCCGTTTGCCGTAAAGCGCTCCGAGAGTCGCCGTCCGGCGCGGAGGGCACTATATAAACCCAAGTTGTTGTTATTGTTGTTGTTGTCGTGGAGGGGGGAACTGTGAGGAGGGGGTGTGGGGGGGGGGAACAGGAAAAGCACAGGTAACGTGCAGGTAACACCCAGAAAAAAGCTGCTCTCTCTCTCTCTCTCTCTCTCTCACTGTGTGAACTGTTTGCTGTGCGTCTCTGTGCGTCAGCATAAGGTGAGCGATTATATTTTGCTCGTGGGGAGGGGCGGAGGGTCAAAAAAAGGGGAAAAAAAGGGTTTCGTACTTACTTCTTCACCGGCGAGGGAGGTCCGCGGAGGGGTCCGATTGCCCGGCGGAGCTCTCCGCGTCTCTCACAGTCTTTCCTCCCCTCCGAAACGCCTTTCGGTCTTCGCGAAGCCTCCTCCGATCCTTATTTACCGGACGTCTGTGCGCGTGTGAGAAGCGAGAGAGGGAGCGCGAGAGAAGGAGAGAGAGAGAGAGAGAGAGAGAGGGAAAGAGAGAAACGGGAAGAGCGAGAGAGAGAGAAACATCAAGCGAGAGATAGGGAGAGAGGGAGAGAGAGAGAGAGAGAGAGAGAGAATGAGAGAGAGAGAGGTTTACCTTAAAGTGTAGAGTAGAGGTGCAACGTTAGGAATGAGCACAGCACATAACACGCGCACACTTGCCCGCGCAGAGGATTATACGCAGAAAGGGAGGCCATTCGGCCCATCGTGTCTGTGCCCAGCGTTTCCCACGTCCTCCCGCACTGTGTGTGAAGTGATCCTAAACCCTCTCCGAGCTCCTCTTCTCTCTCTCTCTCTCTCTCTCTCTCTCCCCGCTCCGAAAGAGGAGGGGGAGTGAGTTCCTCGGAACGCGGACCCCGACTAAAACCACCACGATGGCGTAGACAACCACTTGCCTTCACGGCGGGCGAGGCAGGGTCTGGGAGCGCGTCGTTCCGCCGCCAGCCGGGGGGGAGAAAGGGAGAGAGTGCGCGCGCGCGTGAGACCGTAGGAACGGTCAAATATTTATATTTTAGGTGGGAGTAGATTTGGCAGAACTGTGGCCCTTCCTCCCCCCACCGCAACCCCCCCCACCCTCCCACCCTTCTCGTCAGGACACCAACTCAATAATAATAATAATAATAATAATAATAATAGTAGTAGTAACGTGTCGCTGGTTTAAAAAAAGATCTCCCGACCGCAGTGTGTGTCGGTCTGACTCAGTGGGAAAGCACTCTCATCCCTGAGTCACGAGGCTTTGTTGGGTACTTTGAAATCAGAAGCTTATCGCGGTGGGGGGGGTGTGTGTGGGGGTGTGTGGGGGGGCTATGGGGGGTATATGTGGGGGTGTGGACGGGGGGGGGGGATTTGCGTTGACTGAGGCGCTTTCTCTTGGGGACATCCCGTCAGGCGTCCCGAGAGGAATCCGGGTTCGATTCCCGGACTGGGACACGCGAGTGAAACCTTAGGCAAGTTTCCTTACTCCACACACGCACACGCGCACGCACACACACACACACACACACACACACACACACACACACACACACACACACACACACAGACACACACGCGCGCGCGCACACAGACACACAAATAATGCGGTCACTCCAATCCACGGCTGTTTGCGCAGTCGGCTGCCGCGTTTCGCCCGCAGAATATACAGTCACTACACTTTACCCCGGGCGAAGGGCTTTAGAGACGTCTCGACGACGCGATAAGGCGCTGTATCAAACGCGAGAGGGTTGTTATTCTCATTAATATTAGAATTATGATTAAATCGAGGTCTTGCCTGACTGAGTGTGAACGATTCTGTGACACTATCCTAACAGAGAAGGAAGTTCTTCTCTCTCTCTCTCTCTCTCTCTCTCGCTCTGTCGCTCTCCCCCTGTGTCTCCCCCGCCCACCCCTCGCCCCGGACGTGGAAGGCGTAGCGTAGAACGTGAGCAACGTCTCCTTTTTGATTTATTTTAATCCCCGCGCTCTGTTTACGTCTCGTCCGCCCTCAAAGCAACTCAGTGTGTGTGTGTGTGTGTGTGTAAAAAAAAAAGAAAAAATCCCGTGAAGCACTTTGGGACTTCCTCCTGACGTGAAAGGGCGCGGTGTCGAAAATTATTACGATTGTGATGATTATTATTGCTGTTCGGATTATCGTCACGCGCTCGCTCGCTCGCTCGCCCGCTCGCCCGCCCGCCCGCCCGCCTCCGGACAAGGTGGTGGCCGGGTTGAGGGGTTCAAGTCCTACGTTGCTCCGAGCCCCGTAGCTCGGGGGGTTAGGGAAGTTCGCCTCGCGAGCGAGAGGACCCGGGGTCGATTCCACGCACACCCACACGCGCGCGCGAACGCGCGCACACGCCTCTGTTTACCAGCAGTCGTCAGGAACCCGGCTGTCGGGCGGTTCTCTTTTCCCCGGGCGTCATAAACTCTTCAAAGAAAAGACAGTAACCATAAATCGCTCACACAAACCCACGGCTGTCTGTGTGGGGGGGGGGGACACCGCCCCGTGTCCAATTGGCTGCGGCGCTTCGCCCGCAGAGCGCGCAGTGGCCTCTTTACGGCTTTGCGGCGAAGGGCATCGAGAGGTGATAAGGCGCTGTGTCGTTAAACGTCGGGTTATATGTGTTATATAATCCATCCCTTCTGGTCTGGTTATGTTTCAGCCGGGTTCTGTTTTGAAGGGAACTACAGTAATCAGAGGGCAGGTGTTGAGTTCCACACGTGGGGAGGCTGGAGCCGTGTGCGCCCGCGTGTGCGTGCGTGTGTGTGCGCGTGTGTGTGTGCGTGTATGCGGGCGAGCGAGCGAGTCTGAAGCTGCCTGCGAGTCGGCACAGCGCCCGAGGGACCAGATTGAGTTCCCATTTCATTTGGCTCTGCGGATCTCGGCCGCACGTGAGGACCTCTGGCCCCAGGAGCTCAGGGAGCGAACAGGTACGAGCGGCAGAAGGTTTCAGCCGATTCGCCTCTCTTGAGGCCTCTCTCTCTCTCTCTTTCTCTCTCTCTCTCTCTCTCTCTCTCTCTCTCTCTATCTCTCGAGGGAATAACATTCGTCATAACCACCATCGTCGTCGTCGTCGTCCTCGTTGACAATAACCCGGCGTTTGACCCGGCGCCTCATCTCGTGGTCGTGGTCGTGGTCGAGACGTTCTCAAAGCGCTTCGCGGGGACGCGGCCGTACGGCGGAGTGACTGTGCGTCCGGCGCGCGAAACTCCGCGCCGCGAAAACAAGGGGCGATCAGCTGCTTGAGACCCTACAGTGATCGTGACTCCCAAGTGAATCGCCGGGGCGGAGAAAATAATCTCGCCGGATCTCTGGGTCAGGGTCGCGTGCGTTTTAAGACGAACGGAGCGTAGTTCCCCCCCACTCTGACGGCAGCTTCGCATGTCTGAGCGCGGTGACGTCTCGGCCGCGCACGGAGGCAAATGGTTCGAATTCCCCACTCAAAAGCGACGCACCTTCACTCGACGCCACTTGGACTGCCGCGGCGTTGGGCGAAGGAGGTTTGGCTCGACCCTCAACTCACCAGCAGGCGCTGCGATGTTGATTATCCGTGTATTTTCCCGTCCGCACGTCGGTGACGCGTTCATTTCCTCGGGAGTGTCCGAATGGCGCGCGGCTCGGGCTCGAGAGTATTCATGCGGACGTTAGGGGCGTCCCTGGGCGCCGTTTGAAAAGAGAAGGGAGCGCCTCCTGGGGTCCCGATTGACCCCAATCCCGGAAATAAATAGCGGGCGTTCGTTTCACGGTCGTGCGTGGTACGTTCACCCACAAAATACGCAGTCACTCCGCTTCGCAGTCATTGGCGCGAAGGGCTTTGGGATGTCCTCTCGACCTGTGCGTTTCGTGGGCGACACCCCCACGAGCAGTCGTGGCTTATCTTCTCGGCCCCAAAACAAATCGCAGAAGTGTTTCGCGAAGCGCTGTCGAATCCTCAAGAGGACAGGTCATAAAAACAAATCCGTACCTTTATTTTTCCGTCGGGGATTTTAAAAAAATAACACACATAAGTACACCTCGACTGCACAATTTTGCCAGTAAGCTGCGCTCGGGCGTTACAGACGTGAAGCGCTTTTATCCGCGCGGTCGAGGATGAGGAGTTACAGCATTGTTAAGGAGAAGTCAAGGCAGAGGGAAAGAGGAAAAGAGGAAAATGATGGCCACGTTTCGGGCATCGAACCCAACCTTTGTGCGACGTCGACTGAATGTGCCATCGGACGTCGGCGAAGAAAAACGTCACCTTTACATCAAACGCTGAAAATTGCTAATGATCCGTCGCATCCGAAGCAGAATCTCGGAGGCGAAGTGCCAAGTGATTGCATTTCTTTCAACGTGTTGTCTCCCTCTCCCTCTCTCCCTCTCCCTCTCCCTCTCTCTCTCTCTCTCGTAGGTCGGGATTAAAGTTACGTGTCACCGAAGAAGAGACTGCGTGTTGTAGCTTTTTTCGGCGGCGGTGGTGGGGTGAGGGTGGGGGGGGGCGGGGGGGGGGTGGTTGGAGGGAGGATGGTGGAATTTCCCGAGGGAACGTTTCAAGCGAGAACCGGGAGCGCTCCGAGACGTCTCGGAGACGCCACGAGGCGTTTGCATCGAACGCAAGGATTATTATCATAATGATCGCTATTATTTAGTCTTACACAGCGACCTCCTGCGCTGCCTTCGCTGATTAAACGCGTGTCCGGACCCCGTTTGGGAATTGTCGTCTCCTCTCCTCTCCTCTTCTCTCTCCCTGCGGCATCGGAGGTTTATTCGGTGGTTTGGAGAACAACTGCAATGAATCGCCCCTTCGCTGGTGATCTGGTCACTGCGATTTGATCTGTCTCTCTTGAATCGTCAGTGTCTGTAGATATGAATCGATGCGAATACGAATCCATAAGACCCAAACGTACATGAAGTGTTGGTGTAGACGATTTGTGCCACAGGACCTATATTCTTTCAGCAATGGTACATTCACTGTATAATAAAAATAATAATATATAATAACATACGGTATATAGTAATACATAAGAATATACAGTGTACGGTAATATATAATGTACTGCATAGAATAATGTATAAGAATATTCACTTTGCAGCATATTCTGTGAAGCAAAGACATACAGCGTTATATCAAATGTAAGGATTATTATTAATGAGGATTTTTTTTCTCTCTCTCTCTCTCTCTCTCTCTCTCTCTCTCTCTCTTTCTCTCTCCGCAACTTACCCTTTGCTGGTGGTGGGGGGGGGGTGGGGGGGGGGTCTGATCCGGGCTCAAGTATTTGAACACTTGTCCCAATTTCCTCGACCACCGTCGGCGCTGTCAGTTTGACCCATTTTAACGTGGAACAGAGCCGCACTTCTCGCGCCAAATAAATCGGTCTCGTGAACCGGAACCGCCGATCGGGTTTAGCGTTAAAACCGTTGCGCTCCAGGGGTCGTGGCGGCGGTGGGGGGGTGGGGGGGAAATAAAAGAAAAGGCGGGTGACCGGCCTTTTGCCCCGCGCGCGCCTCCCCCCCCCCCACCGACCCGCGGTGGAATTGGTTTTGAGGCTTCGCGGGGACCTCCCCGGCCCACCCTGCGCCGTGAAACGGTCCCGCGAGCGGCGGCTTAAAATAACATTGCGCTGCTCGACCCGAGTCTGACATGACCTAAGGGGTTTCCTGTTGATGTACCCCCACCCCCGGCCCAGACTGGCGGTAAACAGACCAGATTTTCCGCCCGGCTCTCGGAACGCCTGCCCTCGACGTCTCGACTTCCCGTCTCGAAGCGGAGCGGCAGGAAACCGGCCGCCTGTATCTCTTCCTGACATCTCTGTTGTTCTCGCTCGCCATTGGCTCCGCGCGAAGGCTTTTGGTTTGGGGTTCGGTCTGCGTTAGAGCCTTCGGGCGTCTGCTCTCCGCACCCTCCGCCCCCCCCCCCCCCCCACCCCCGCACACCCCTCCTCACCTACTACCACCCACCCCCCCACCCTCCCCACTAACCCTCCACCCTCCGCTCGCCTCGTTCACGTCGTCGGTGTGTGATACTGGGAGTAGCGAACACACACACACACACACACACACACACACACGTGCGCGCCCACGCACTCACACAAGCACACGCATACACACACACACACATACGCTCACACACACATACACACCCATCACACACACACACACACACAGGCATACACACACACCACACGAGCGCACATACAGACAGACAGACACACACGTTGACAGTGAGCAACAGAGGAGACAAGAAACACGCAGACACACACACACACACACACCCACACACACACACACACACACACGGGCACATGCACACACACGTTCGCTCAGTAGCAGTGAGTATCAGAGGATTTGAGAGAGAGAGAGAGAGAGAGACACGTATGTGTGTAAGTGAGCAACACACACACACACGCAATCAATCGGTGGCACTGAGTATCAGAGTAATAGTGAGACACACACACAGCGAGTCGTGAAGTCAGGACAGTTGAGCATCGAGAGACGGCGAACAGTTAACGGAAGACAAGCCTCCGAATCCACCAGCAGGTACCAAAGAAATGTACGCCTTATTGATAATAATAATAATAATAATAATCCTGGCATATGACGCAGCGCCTTATCAGGTCCTCGAGGCGTCTCAAAGCGCTTCACAGGGTACGCTGCACGGCGAATTAACCGTACATCCTGCGGGCGAAACACGGCGGCCGATTGCGCGCGGCGGCGTCCCCGCAAACAGCCGTGGGATCGAGTGACCCAATTTTATTTTGGGAGGGATTATCAGCCCCGAAAAGCGATTGATCCACCAATCGATCAACAACCGGGTTCCGACTTTACCGCCAAATAAGCAGAGGCGCGTGCGCGGAGGAGGAGGCTCGCGAGGCGAGTCCGCAGCGCTAATTCCGAGGGTGAGGCGGGTTCCGGGTATTGGCTAATTAATCTGTTGTTTGGGCAATTTGGTGAACTTCGGTCAGGAATTCGATGTTGTTCCAAGACGGTCCCGCGGGACCCGTGATGTCCGCCCGAGCGCTAAGGCAGACGCGGCTGAGCTTAACCTCAACAGCAATCTCGAATCACACTGACAAGTCCCATTTACGCGGACAACAACAACAACAACAACAACAACAACAAGATTCCATTTATAGAGCGCCTTTCACGTCAGGAGGACGTCCCAAGGCGCTGCACAGTTGGGTCATGACCCGAGCAGGGGGGAAATGGTCAGGGTGAGGGGAGGGAAGGGAGGGAGCGAGGAGGGGGGAAATGGTCAGGGTGAGGGGAGGGAAGGGAGGGAGCGAGGAGGGGGGAAATGGTCAGGGTGAGGGGAGGGAAGGGAGGGAGCGAGGAGGAGGAAGAGAGTCGTCCTTTCAAGTCGCGAGGACGGCCCAAGGCGCCGGGGATTTGGACCCGAGCTGGGGGTCGG